GGCCGCGGCCCCCTCGGGCTGCGCGGGCCGTCCTTCCCTTCCCGCCCCGGAGCGTGGGTGCGCTCACGGCTTCCTTTAAGATCATTCTTTTGTTGGCTGTCTTCCCCCCCTCCCCACCCCCCTCCAAACCTGGCCCTCCTTTTTCTCCGCCCTAAAAAATAATAATAATCTGAGCCACGAATGGGTGCGAGCTGTGACTTTATCCGATCGAGAGGAGGGGATGCGTCGGCCAATGGGCTTTTGGTCCCTGCGGATGAGGGCTTGTCCCCGTGGAGTGGTTTTGATGTGATTCTCACTCCTTTGCAGACCATGAAACCGTCGGGCACGCCCCTCCAGCAGCCGTGGTCGAAGACAATCTAGCCTTCCTTTAGAAATCTCTTCCGACACTTAATGAAGTTTTCTCGTTCGGGGATTGCTGCACTGCAATGAAGAAGAGGAGAAAGGTTGCTTCCAGTCTTGACGAGAAGATCCATCTGGGCTATCATAAAGAGTCTCCAGAGGGAAATGTCACAGTGCAGTGTGACCAAGTGACCTGTCCTTACTCCTCAGAAAGACCAGCCCCCGAAGCTCTGCACCATTACCAGGAACTTCCTCCCTCGCCAGATCAGAGAACTCTTCTGAGTTCTTTGCAGTATAATAAGAATTTGTTGAAGTATTTAAATGATGATAGGCAGAAGCAACCATCTTTCTGCGACTTACTTATCATAGTAGAAGGGAAGGAATTTAGTGCCCATAAAGTAGTGGTTGCTGTTGGCAGTAGTTATTTTCATGCTTGTTTGAGCAAAAATCCCAGCACTGATGTTGTCACCCTGGATCACGTAACACATTCAGTGTTTCAGCATTTGCTTGAGTTCCTTTACACATCAGAGTTTTTTGTGTACAAATACGAAATACCTCTTGTTTTAGAGGCTGCAAAGTTTTTGGACATTATTGATGCAGTTAAACTGCTAAATAATGAAAATGTTGCAGCTTTTCAGGCAGAACTAACGGAAAAGTCATCACCAGAAGAGACACTAAATGAATTAACCGGAAGACTGTCAAATAATCATCAGTGCAAATTCTGTAGTAGACATTTTTGTTATAAAAAGTCCTTAGAGAATCATTTGACTAAAGCTCATAGGTCCCTTTTGTTAGGGAAAAAACATGGGTTAAAAATGCTAGAGAGAAGTTTTTCTGCAAGAAGGTCCAAAAGGAATCGTAAATGTCCTGTGAAGTTTGATGACACAAGTGAGGATGAACCAGAAAGTGCAGATGGGTCAGACAATTTGAATCAAGAAAGCTTCGATAAGGAAAAGTCAGACAGAAACGATTCTGAGGATGCTGGAAGTGAATATAATGCTGAAGAAGATGAACTAGAGGAGGAAATGTCGGATGAATACTCTGACATTGAAGAACAGAGTGACCGAGATAATGAGGCAGAAGAGGAACCCGAGGCAGGGGATTCTGTAGGAAACATTCACGAGGGGTTAACACCAGTAATCATTCAGAACAGTAACAAGAAAATATTGCAGTGTCCTAAGTGTGATAAGACATTTGACCGAATAGGTAAGGAAAGAAAGCTAGCTTTTTATCTCTTTTTACTTATGTTTCGTGGATATTTTAAAGGGGATAACTAAAGTTAGATTTTGAAAGCAACCTTCAAAAAGACTATTAGAATGGAACATAATTTGGTTTTCAGTACACTTTTATTCTGTTATTGTAAATTGGGATTCAGGAGTTCAGTGTTTTTATTACCATATTACTCTTTATTTACCCTTTTTCATTCTTTATTTTCTTTTGGTGCTCACACTGAGTCTTACACTCAGGGCCTGGTTGCTGTCCATGAGCTTTTTTGCCCAAGGAGATATTCTTCCACTTGAGCCACAGCTACATTTTTTGCTTTTTAGTGGTTAATTGGAGATAAGAGTCTCATGAACTTGTCTGCCTGGCCTGGCTTCAAATCCTGAGTAGCTAGGATCACAGCCATGAGCCTCCAGTATCCAGCTTATTCATCAGGCCCACAGGTAATAGATGTATTTGGATGAAAGACACCTGAGTATAAATAGGTATATATAGTTTTGCTTCATATGTCATACATTTCAGAAGTAACACTAATTTTGAGTCATGAAAATCAGTAATTTGTGTTTTCCTTTTGCATGGCAACGTGAGTTATAAATATATTCATGTTTCCAATATTCAGAACCTTTTACAGTTGGAATGTTTTAGGTTTTGGATTAATGAGTAAATCACTCTTTTCCCTATTAGAAAAGAATATGTGGGAATGTCGTCTGCTCCCTGCAGTTTTGTCACTGCATATTTAAATTTGAGATGTTTAATATTTGCTAGTAAAATAATTTAGAGAAATGCCTTGTATATTGTGTATAAATTTTAATTACAATAACTAAGCTATTTACAGACATATATATTGAGATTATGAAGCTGAAATATTTTACACATAATGTGATAAAAAACAATGTGTAATCTGATCTTCTTACACAGTTTAAATTCATCCCCATATGTGTTTTTCTGTTTATTACTTCTGTTATTGGTATACGTTGAAATTAGTTTTACAAGGTGTAAATATACTATGGCATTAGAATAGCTTCAGTTTGCTTTTTTATAATGCCTTTTGCATGCATTCTCTGAGTCACAATACTTTGGACAATATTTCAAAAATTATTAATATTTTTTACTTTGAGACTTTGTACAGAGATGAGTAAAATAACTTACTGAGTAATTCAGGCAGTTGGAAGCGCTTATATATACAAGAAACTGGTTGGAATCAGGCTACTTAAGTGCTATATTGTAAGAGCTGTCAACACATCTGTGAGGTACAGAGAAGAAAGCTTCTTTGGTACCTGGGAACATTTTATCTTGTCTGGTACATCTCAGACTTTGTGCTCTTAGAACGTGCTTCCTGTGTTCTGCTTTTATTGACCTAATTTGACTTGGAGATAAATGAGCAGGAGTCAGTTCACATGCACTAAAGATCAAGAGCATAGATCTCAAACTATCCCTTTGAGCACTAGACTTGTGATAGATTTTATGAGAGAAGATTTTGGGTAACATAGTAACATAGGGAAAACTAGTACATGGGGTCAATGTTAACTCTTAGGACATTCTGTAATAATACAGACCTGTTCATTTACTTAACCTAGAAATTACTTTATCATAGGAGTACTTTGGAGTACTTCTTTTAATGTTCCAGGAAGCTGGAGTTTTAAAGACAAATTGGGGGAACGCTGATGAACATTAAGGTTCTGACTTATTGCCAGAAAGGCAGTGAAATGCCTTTTCTTAGTTGTGGAAATCAGTAGTTCACATTGTAGGGTTATTTCTAACCAACCTTTTAAAACGCATTTTACAGTAAACTCCTTCACCTCTTCCCTTTATCCACATCAGGGCTTCTTATTTTTCACTAGTTTTTCTCATCTCCATTACATTAGTGTGTCTCTTTGTTGGATGTTTTGTCTCCTGTTTATCTCATCTTATAAAGATGAAAAATCATGAGCTAAAGTAATGTCAGACTGTCTGGGGTTTTTGAATCCAGGTCTTGGGTGAGAGTTATTTACTGTGTGTGCTTTTGTTTCTTCCTAAGTAAAACAAAATATGCTAATAGTTCCCTCCAGTGGAAGGATATGAGTAATACTAAATGACTATTCTAGGGAATCACTTAAAATACTACACAAAATTAATGTGTTCAAGAAATGTTTGCTGCTTTTTACTATTCATTAACCAGACATACTTTTTGAGTGTCCAATCTGCCACACTGCTGCTAAAGAAGTAAATGTTATCATCTCTGTCCTTACCCATCAAGGAACTCAGTTGAATACATGCAAAAAAAAACAGTCGTGGTACAATATAAGTTATTTCCTCAGGTTGAATATAGAATCCTCAGGGAGATGGGAAATTTCACAGAGCAAGTCTTATTTGAGCTGAGTCTTGAAAATAATTTCCAAGGAAGATAGTAAAAATGGCAGGTCAGGGTTGGCAAGTAATTGGCTTGCTTGTGTGCTATACATAATACTTTAGATTTTATCCAATGGAAATGGTTGAACAAAATTCACAAAGAAAATGACAGCCAGATTACAGTGGCTTCATTGTGGAGAAGGAAATTGGAAAGGGAAGAGAAAACCAAGTTAATAGGAGGAACTATAGCAAAGGAGTAGACTGAAGACTACCCAAGATTGGGAGATTGCTGAGATTGGGGCCGGGAATGGCACTTGAGTGAAGGTAGGCTAAATGTAGATGAAGTAGATGGGAGTAGGTGGAGTGAAAGAATATGTAGACGAGATACCTTAAAAATGTCCTGGCTTATCTCAAAAACAGTTCAGTGGCTACCTTCCAGTTCTTCTCAAATCACAACGTATTCCTTTCAAGGGATTCCCAGTAGATGCATTCGACTTTATTTTTAAAGAAGAGGTTTTTTTTGTTCTTTTTGTTTTTGTTGTTGTTTTGGTCGGTCGTAGGGCTTGAAATCTCGGCTTGGGTGCTATCCCTGTGCTCTTCAGCTCAAGGGGAGCACTCTACTGCTTGAGCCACAGCCCCACTTCTGGATTTCTAGTGGTTTATTGGAGATAAGAGTCTCACGGACTTTCCTGCCCGGGCTGGCTTTGAACCGAGATCCTTAAATCTCAGCCTCCTGGGTAGCTAGAATTACAGGTGTGAGCCACCAGCGCCCGGCTTAGAGAAGAGTTTTAAGAATGATATAATTCTCTATTCTGAGGTTAAATATTTTAGTTATGTCTTCAGTGTGTGCTATGAATGGACTCAAGGCATAGTTTAAGGTTGGGCAATAAACCCCACATTAATATTTGAAAATAGTAATTTTTACGTGACCTGTATGAGGGAATTCATTCTGAAACACAAGTCAAATTTGTCCATGTCTGTGGGCACCCCTCCCTGCCCCTTCCACTGCTACCTGCTTCTTCTGAGACCACAGGTTCTTTTTCCTGGTCTTGGTTAGAAATCCAAATCCATGGAAATAATAAATGCAAGTATGCACACATTTTGAATTAGTAACTTCTGAGATTCATAATTACCTAAATTTCTCTATTTTCATTTGTCTCAGAATCTATTTAATAGAGTTTTTAAAAATATCAATAGGTTTGTCTAACATTGGCATTTCAGCTTAAATTCCTACTTTTTTTTTTTTGCTTAAGTCTTTTTATTTGTGCTGATCTGTAGGACAGTAAAAGTTGAACAGTAAAAATGTTTTTTTTTAATTTAACAGCTATTTTGATGGGTTTTATATCCAACTACATGTAACTTAGTTTTTATTTGTAAATGAAGGACTTTGACTTTAAGGAAAATACCAGTAGTTACTCAGCGAACATCTTTACAAGAAAGGTGTTTTTATAAGAAATAAGACATGGCACAAAGTTTTCTTCTACCTTGAGATCACTGTTCTGAGTACCTTAAGTTATTGTTTTCATTTAATTGGAAAGAAAATTGAAGCAATTTAACCATTTGGAGGTTGATAAATTCTCTTTCAATCCTAATAGGAAAGAATTAGAATTTCTCATCCACTTTGGTTATCTGTTGCTATGTAATAAACCACTTCACATGATGCTAAACATGCACAGTTAAACCCCAGTGAAAAATGGGCTTGATCCAAAAGTAACTTTGTTAATCATTTAAAAATTATACTATGTCTATAATCCTGGCTACTTAGGAGGCTGAGATCTGAGGACTGATGATGCCAGCCTGGGAAGGAAAGTCGGTGAGACTCCATTTAACTACCAGAAAACCAGAAGTGGCGCTGTGGCTCAAAGTGTTAGCCTTGAGTAGAAATAGCTCAGGACAGTGCCCAGGCCCTGGATTTAAGCCCCATGACATTTTTTTTTTAAATTAGACCATAAAATACTCTTGATTGGTGTATACTTTTATGGGTTTCTATTATTGGTGTAAGAAAATGCAATGTGAAAGCTTGAATAATCATGGAAAACTTTTCTTAAAATTTTATATATAGAGACCTCCGCACTTTGTTCTCCAATATTAGATCTGATCTCTTGAACACAGTGAAAATCATGAGGGTATTTATGTGCACGTGAATATGGGAGTGTGTGCCCCAGCTGTGTAAGAGGCCTGTGGGTTCTAGGCAGTGGCAGAGGGGAAGGCAAAATCCTTTCACTGTTTCCAGAGTTTTAACATGTATAATGTATTCATACATAAGGTGTATACAGATTTGAGTTTGAGATAAACCTACAGATCTACACTGATTGGTAATCCGTATGTTAATAATAATAATCGCTACTACTTACTAGTACTTACTAGTACCAGTAACTAGTACTAGTCTTAAGTGTGTTATCAGTATAAGTTCATTTACTTCTTATAATATATAGATATATTTAGATATATAGAGAAAAGATTATTGGCTTAAGATCATTTAGGTGGTGCTCAAGTATTGTCTATGTTTCTGGCTACATGCTTGAAAAAAAAATACATAGGCCATTACCTACATAGTCAGTTTTTAAATACTTAGTAGGCTTTTCTCATGCTTTTGCTTTTGTCTTTGAATGACATCCTCATACCCTGATTTCCTTAGCTTATATGATAAACAGCATAATTAATGTATGGATAACATTAATATTTGCTTAAATTCAGTCAGATATAAATATACCTAATAAGTTGGTGAATATTTTGTCAAGTAGACAAATTCCTCAGTGGCCTTGGAATTCTTGAGGTTTTTTTTTCTAATTTTCATGATAAAGGATTTATTCTAAGTGCATGACAGAAATATTAAATATTCACACTAGATTTAGCCCAAGGAAAATTTATTTATAAATGTATTTGCCAAACAAAGCAAAAGGCTAAGCTTTCAAGTGAAAATTATTCCTCAATGTTGTTAGGGTTTTTCTTATTTTTATTGTCTTTTGTTTAAAAGTACTCTGTATTGAAATTACTGTTTCAAGCTATATGCATAGTCAGGAAAGCATAATCTTAACGGAAACTTTACAGTGTGTTAGATATTGTTGTAAATGCTTCATGTATTATTCTAACAACAGTCCTACATGTAAATAGGATTATGAAGTTTCAGTCAGGAAAGGTTTGTGTCATCAATGTGTTCAATTTACCCAGCCTGTTATTTGAGAACCAGGATTTATATCCTGGCGTATGCAAATTTGGCCTGTGTTTATCTGTGATGCTCTTCTGCTCCTGGAATGTAGACATTTGTGTTGTCAATAGTCTGAGAGAATTTTATTCTAAATAGAAATGATAAAATTAAACCAAAATGTATCTTTTAATTTTATATTCAGTTGAGTTTTCTTTTTGAAAACTCTTCTTAGAGTTATTTTTATAAATTCTATTGGAAAGGCCTATAGTATCTATTCTGAATATATTTAGAAACATTCAGATTGTAATGCAAAGGGTTTACAGTATATAGAACGCTAAATGTTTATCAGTTACATCTGCTTTGTGCTTCATACTAAACTATTAAAGCCATTATGTACAGGTCTCAGGTTTGTCTGTCCAACCTGGCTTTAACCAGATCCTCAGATTTAAGCCTCCTGGCACCTAGCCAACCTGTTTTTGAGGGAAAGTTTTCTGTGAGCACTAAGCTCAAGACAGAAAATTGTTGAGGTTAATGTGAGTTAGAAATTAAGGTAAAGTTTTTCTTGCTTTTTATGTATTTGGTATGTGTATTCACTTTGCTAAATCACGCGATTTTATTCCCTGGTCATTTTAATGTCAGTAAATAAACAGAATTTAATTTTGCTTTCTCTCTTTCTCTAGGGAAATATGAAAGCCACACCCGTGTGCACACAGGTGAGAAGCCCTTTGAGTGTGATATCTGTCACCAGCGCTATTCTACCAAGTCTAACCTTACCGTCCACAGAAAGAAGCACAGTAATGAAACTGAGTTCCATAAGAAGGAGCACAAGTGCCCTTACTGTAACAAACTCCATGCCAGCAAGAAGACCTTAGCCAAGCATGTCAAGAGGCAAGTAGTGGCTCATTTCATATGTAATGCATTGTGCCTTCTCATGGGGATAGGTAGCAAAGAAGAATGTCTCTGGAATGCCTGTCTTCAGAAATACATCATTTTAGACCTCTAGATAATTTAGTTTTTTACATTTAAGTTTTTGTTTAGTGTGTAAACGCTTATAAAAATACATATATATGCAATACTAAATTTTCTGAAATCTGGAATTTAAAAAAAAGTTACCTTGCAGAATATTATCTATTGCTAAAATACTTGTTGCAAATTGTTGCTAATTGGGCTCCTAACTGTGCTTAAATGTGATTAGAATAACTATTTCTGCATAGACACATTCACATCAAAATGATGTGGATATATTCTCAGCTGGTCTCTAGAATATAAGTCCCTGGTTTTTGTTTTTGTTTTGAGACAGAGGTTTACTCTGCAGCCCAGGCTGGTCTTGAGTTCACACTTGTCTTCCCTCAGCTTCTTTTTATTTTTATTGGTCCGGTCGTGGGGCCTGAACTCTGGGCCTGGCTGCTGTCCCTCAGCTCTTCAGCTCAAGGCTAACACTCTACCACTTGAGCCACAGCACCACTTCCGGCTTTTTTCTTTTTGCTTATGTGGTGCTGAGGAATCGAACCCCGGACCTCAGGCATGCAAGGCAAGCACTCTACCACTGAGCCACCTTCCCAGCCCTCCCTCAGCTTCTTGAATGCTGGAGTTATAGTTGTCTGCCACCATGCCCAACTGGTACTTGAATCTTGGAATCATTGTTGGCAGATTCATATGGGATATTGACTTAATACTATCTTATCCTAATAATCTTTTTCCTTTTCTCTGACAGATTTCATCCTGAAAATGCACAAGAATTTATTTCCATCAAGAAATCTAAGAGTGAAAGTTGGAAGTGTGATGTAAGAGTTTTTCATTTAAATTAGAAAGCCAAAGTGAATAAACATAATGTTACTTTGGGGGATGAAAATTAGGTTTTACAGAAACATACCTTAGTTTGTTTCACCTTTAGATTCAGTTATATAAAGTTACTCTTAATTTTTGGTGAAGGAGGCAGATTTAGGGGATGATTTATCTTTCAGTGGGAGGAATTACAAAGACTTTATGAACATCTTTATTCTTCAAGCCACTAACTTATTTTTTCAGTATTTAGGTTAATATTGTTTTGTATTTAATATTCACAATCATTGTATCTTCTTTATTCCAATAATTCAAAAGTTAGTATTTTATTTTATTTTTATTTTTGGGTCTGGTCGTGGGGCCTGAACTCTGGGCCTGGGCTCTGTCCCTCAGCTCTTCAGCTCAAGGCTAGCACTCTACCACTTGAGCCACAGCGCCACTTCTGGATTTTTTTTTCTGCTTATGTGGCGCTGAGGAATCGAACCCAGGGCCTCATGCATACAAGGGAAGCTCTCTACCACTGAGCCACCTTCCCAGCCCATATTTTATTTTTTTTAGTGCTGGACATTGAACCCAGAGCTTCATGCTTGCTAGTCAACTGCTCCACCACTTGAGCTATAACCCAGCCCTCTTGGTTTTATTTACTTACTTAGTACCAGAATTTGCATTTCTTCTTTCCAGCCAGCCAGCTGTTTTTCTGGGACATTTTATTATTCCTAACCAAACATATGGCAACAATGATTTTTTACATATATATATATATATATATTCCTGACATATAATTGGTTTGTGAATATACATTCCATGGATTAGGAAATTGCTATTTAGAACTGAGTTAGTAAGATTATTCTGTAGCTCTGAATGTAAGGAGTTATAATTCAGCTGTCATCACCATTAATGTAATTCTTAAATTTTGCCATTGTTGTTTTGTTTTCTTGCAAATTACAATTTGATTATAATTTGGCAAGTTAACAATTTTTGTTGGGAGCAATTGATGTCTACTTGAATCCATATACTCATTTTTCGTCATTATAAATGTATACTTTCAGCTTATCTTACATTTTACATACATTTTTCACTTAGATTTGTAAGAAATCTTTTACTCGAAGACCACACTTGGAGGAACATATGATTCTCCATTCTCAAGACAAACCTTTCAAGTGTACCTACTGTGAAGAACATTTCAAATCTCGGTTTGCACGGTTGAAGCATCAGGAGAAGTTCCATCTGGGTAAGCAGATTATGTTTTCTTAAAAGCAGTCATAGCAATTATTTATTCCATCATGCTGGAAAGCCTACTACTGTTAAACTATACTTTTAAAAGTTGTTAATATTTTCAAAGGTGTTTTACGTTGCCAGAAATATTAAGAAGATACACATATTCCCATTTCACATCGTGCCTTCATTATGCATACCATCCCTGTTACTCATACCTCCCACCATATGGGACATTGGTGAAAATTGAAATATTCCCAGATCTTCCTAATAAGGAATAAGATTGCTAGAATTATATGTGTGCTAGGTTTTTGAGGACGAATGTGTTTCATTCCTTTAGGTAAATAATCTAGTAGCCTAAAGGCTGTATTAGATGATTCAAATATATTTTGATTGTAAGAAGCAGCTGTGTTGTCTCTTCAAAAGCGGCTAGACCTGTCTGCATTCCCTTTAGAAAAGCAAGTCTCCACTTTATTTTTTACCAGTTCTTAGGCTTGAACTCAGGACCTAGGCACTGTCCCTGAGCTGCTTTTGCTCAAGGCTAGGACACTACCACCTGAGCCACAGCACCACTTTTCAGCTTTTTATGTGGTACTGAGGAATTGAATCCATGGCTTCATACATGCCAGGCAAACACTCTAGCACTAACTATTCCAGCCCTCCCACTAGCCGTGAATGAGAGCACCTATTTCCTGTCCTGACAGCCATCTAGTATTGTGGCCTTTATAATATTGTCTGGTGGTATCACGTTTTGTAGTGCATTATATGTGGTAAGGCCCATCTTTTCATGTACTTAACTTGCCATTTATGTGTCTTTTGTTTGGTGTATTTTCTGTCTAGACATTTTTTATAGTTCGGTTGTTTTTTTTTTTGCTGTTGAGTTTTGAAAATTCTTTGTATATTTTGGGTCTACTTAGAAGGAGAGCTGTAGCACAAGTGGTAGAGCACCAGCCTTGACCCTCAAAGGCTAAGGGGCAGTGTTCACGCCCTGAGTTCAGTTAGAGCCTATGCTGCTACCCTGTTTAGAGAGTTAGTATGAAGACCTGCATAAGTATTAGTTTTAAGTTTGGTTTCATACATGAAAAGTTCATAGAGATTTCACTGCATACAAAATTGAATATCCAGTGTAGGAACAACCCTTTTCCTCCCCTTTTCCGTGCACCACCAGCCTGTCTTGCTCTAATTGTTGCTTCAACGAAAACATTTCTTAGCCCATATGATACGTAAAGTTGTATGCAAACTTTACTA